TGAACATTTCATAGATTTACCTGTTAAACGACATCCTGTGTGAGTTCCCCTAAGCAACGCACGCATGATTTGAGGACTTAACTCTGTCATTGGTTTGTAACGACAGTGACTGCTCTGACTCTGTCCCTCTATTCGTGGAGAGCTTTGCTGCTCCTCATATCGTTCGATCACAGATTGGACTACTTTCTAACTTGCTGGTTCCTTATCAGACTTATGAGGCATATTGTTTCACTTTTTGTATCCTCAAACACCAAACACCATTGATGAACAAACCTCTTGAGACAAAATCCTAAAAATGGGTGCTTTATTGATGAAAATTACAATTGGAAATAAATAGAATGCTTCCAAGGGACATAAGCACACCAGAGTATTTGATTCGGGATCCTTTCTTCTATGTTTTCTTTTTCTTTTTATACTCCCTTGATAGTTCCTTTGTAAAAAAAATGTTTGGAAACTGTTTGATGCTCTATAACTATCCATTTTCTTCATGATGACTGACTTGTCATGGAACTGTCGTCTCTAACTGTTGCCATTACTCTAATCGTTTAACTGCTTACAACCAGGATTCTTGGGTCGTAGGGTGTGATAAGATGCTCAATAACCGCTTCAATAACTGCTATATTGGATAACCACAATCCTTAGATTCGCTCAGTTCTCGGGCGACTAGAGGGTTTGGGCGAGAATGAGATCATCGCTCTGGACGACTGTAAGGCACTCAATTTACTCAGATTCTGGGTGTCTTGCAAATTTGGGAGATGATGTTACTTTGTTCGTGGGCCTTCGCTACACTCATCAATGGTTCTATTTGGGCCTTCATTCTGGATTTCTCAATTGGACTTCATTTCTTGGACTATTCAATTTGTGCTACACTTTTTGTATGTCAACAACAATCTAATCCCGTTCACTACCAAACACTCTTCAAATTCTACTAATACCAAAGTATTATAATCCTATAAGACAATAATAGTCACGTGAGAGCGAGTTCCAAATTCAGAATTCAGGTTGCAAGGGAACTTGGTAAAAGCCCTAATATTTAAACATGACAATGACATAGTACAAAATAATTTCATCAAAATTTATGTGACATAACCTCAAATTTTTACTTCGATTTCTTTCGTTATATTGTAATTTTTAGTTTTTTTTTTTTAGCAGCTAACAATGTTTCATTAGTTTTTTTCTTTAAGAGACATGATTGCAATATTTATGTTTATTTCAAAATTGGCACCTATACTTTATGTTCATCTCAAGATTGCCTCCCACAAATTTATTTAAACCCTCTGTTTCATTTAGCTAAACAGTCAGATTTTTATTAAATTTTAATAAAAATTAATAAAATACGTAATTGAAATGTTGATAGAAGTTGTGAATCTCATAAAATATGTAGTTGAAAATAAACAATTTAAATGTATATTAAAATCCATGTTCGTATTATCATTATTTGATTTTTAAGTCGTGTAAAGTTTGAATTAGGGATTTTGACGTAGTGAAAGTTTATAAAAAAGAACAAAATCTAACTATAAAACCCTAACTCGTTCATTTGCTTACAAATATTCAACACTCTTAATAATAATATAAAATTCATCAAATTGTCATCACTTGTATTTAAAGTAATAAATAGAATCCGAATAATGACTAAACTCCTAAATAACGACTAAATCTAGATAATAATATGAATCAAAAGTTTTAATGGAATTAAAATTATTCCATTAAAACAATGCGAAGAATGAAGCATGAAAGAAGAATTAGAAAATATGTCGAATTGTCGATGTGTAGAAAATTTAAGGATTCTTCCCAAAGATTCTTCCACGAATAGTAAGTATAAGATTTAACTTTTAATAAGAGTATACTAAATATTTTGTTATTCAAAGAGTAAGAAAAAATTTCTTCATCAAAATAATAATAATAAAAAAGTAATAAATTAAAGATGTAGTTTTAAAAAAGAAAAAATAAGGATTTTCTTACTTGTACATAAAAAAAAAATGTAAGTAAGTGGTTACCGATAATGATGTGGAGATAAAAAAATTGGATGAAAATGTTGATTGTGTTTTAAACTAGCAGATGATAGAGTGTCGTGTGATATTATGCAATTCATTATGTAAATCTTGATGTACATATAGCAAGATTCACAAAAGAAATAGCTGCAATTAACTCAACTGTTGGATTTGTCAAGCATCTTGTTATTGTAGTGCTGAATTTTGTGTTTAAAGTTATGTACTTCAAAACTTGATTGAATTAGAATTAGTCAAGAATCTTGATTAAGAATGCAAATTAGATGCCATAATTGTTGTGGCTTTTAAAATTGAGTCAAATGTGTGATGCAGTTCACTAAGGTCAAATTTATAATTATTTAGGTGTTTTTTTCTTGTCATTTATTTAATTAAGGTTTTGTTAGGAGTTTATGAACTATGAGGAAATTTTTTATTAGAGTTGGAATAGATCCCCGTTTAATGGGAATTTAAATTAGATTTTTAGTAGATTTTGATAAAAATTGATGAAATCTGTGAATGAAAAGTTGTAAATCTGTGATTAAATTAAAATCTAAACTATGAAGAACTTTTCAAGCAACTTTATTAAAGTTTAGAGAAAAGTACAATTGCAAAGAAAGCTCCTAGACTCAAACCTAACTCGGACATTGCCATTGCTCAAGCACGAGACTTGATCAAAAAATCCTTCAAGACATTTTGTCACCATTTTTAATCTTTAGACCCTAAGGGGGTAAGTTTTACATATTAAACTACTTGTACAAAGAAAATGTACGTGTACAAGCCAAAGATGCAGTGTTGGCAGCACTTCGTTGGCAGTCAACACTACAATTTGAGTAGTGTTCAATGACAAATTGACACATGATATTCTGTCAAGCTGTATGTACAAAATTCATGTACATTACGCTTTTGTTTGATCCTCATTTTTTTTTAAAATATATTTTTCTTTTTTTTTAATCATACATTTTTTTATAAAATAATATGACATGCAACTAAGAAAAACTCTTCATTTTTAATTACATATTTTTCATCAATTTACTATTTCAAAATGCATTCTACACTTAAGTCCAAGTTTTACAAGTTGTGGAGTTATCAACGCCTATATATTTTACCCTCTTCCACAGGAAGCTTCTAGAATTTCAACAAATCTAAACCCCTTTCTCATCGTCTTTCTCTCACAACTGGATCTGCGACGAAAGCTTTGATTAATCAAGAAAGGTGTACTTTTGAGGGATTTGATTGAGTTCTCTTTTTTGTTTGGTTATTGAGGTTGATTTCATTCAGGTTTGGGGTTTGGCTATGACTCCGCCACCGGAGGATCGGAACGCCGGCGACTCGGCAAGGGCGTTACCTACTCCGTTTCTAACGAAAACTTACCAGCTTGTGGATGACCACACAAGTGATGATGTTATCTCCTGGAATGAAGATGGATCTACTTTTATCGTACGGAATCCTACGGAATTTGCAAGAGATTTGCTCCCTAAATATTTCAAGCACAACAATTTCTCGAGTTTTGTCCGTCAACTCAATACTTACGTAAGCTTAATCACCGAGAATCTGATCAAAGACAATTTATTCATTTGGAAATAGAGGTTTTCTTGTCTCATTTACTGATTGCGGTTTTTCGTATTTCAATTTCTAGGGATTTAGGAAGGTTGTCCCTGATCGGTGGGAATTTTCAAACGAATGCTTCCGGCGAGGCGAGAAAATGCTTTTATGCGATATACAGCGTCGGAAAATAGCAACGCCGTCTTCTGCGGTGGCTGCAACATCGCCAGCTGCGGTTACGGTGGCGGCTGCACATCCGACACCAGCTGCAACTCAGCAGCTGACAGTGTCTCCTTCCGACTCAGGGGAAGAGCAGGTTCTGTCATCCCCCAACTCGGCCGGGGCTGTACACGAGTTTAGCGGAAGCACATCTGAGCTGATTGGAGAGAACGAGCGGCTGAGGAAAGAGAACATGCAGCTCAACAAAGAGCTGAGCAACGTGAAGAGCCTGTGCAATAAAATTTACCATCTTATGTCAAATTTCGCTAATTGCAGCAGCAGCAATGACCAGGCAGTAAAGTCGCTGGATTTGCTACCTATGACAAGTTTTTGTGAAGAAATGGAAGGCGTAGTCACCGCCTCCGCCGCGACTGACGGCGGCAAAGAAAACGATTTAAGATCTGAGGAGGAGAGATTAAGCGCGAGACTGCTCGGTATGCCGATAGGCGTCAAACGTGGCAGGGAATGCGAAGGTACTTCGGCGGACCATGATATGGATTTGCAGCTGCAGCTGCAGCTGCAGCAGCCCGGCACTGATGTGAAATCTGAGCCGTCTGATCAAAATAGCGGTGATGATCGAGAGACAACCTGGATTCGGCGGTGCAACTCGCGAAATCAAGGAGATTAGATTAGATCATCAATCTTAGATTCTTGTTTATTTTTTTTCAGTTGGAGCAAAAAGTGCCTCTTTTTTTTTTTTTGTCCTTTTTGTAAAAATGCATGAGAAATTTTTTTACAGAATTCCACCTGATGTGTCGGGTCTCCTTGTCAATAAAATATTCCAAAAAAGTGGGTCCCACCTGTGTTGTGTGCGGTCTGTAAACAACATGAATGGTCCTTTTTTTTCTCTTTTCGGGTGTGTTTGATCAACATTATTTTTGAAAAATGTATTCTGGAATAGTAGATTGATAGAGAATTTATGGTTGAAAAAGAAAGAAAAGTTATTGATGTGATGAAAAATATGTGGTTGAAAATGAGTAGAAAAATAAAAATAAAAATTTTAATGTGTACCAAATAGGGGCTTAGTCGCGTGGCGTGAATCGCGTGATCTACATAGATTTGGTATTTAAATAATTATATAAGCTAATTACCAAATTTCCATTTTGCAATTAATATATATATAAGCAATAGGGATAAGAACTTGGTGCATATTTTGCTAATATCCTTTAACCGCACTATAGCAGTATAGTATTATTTTCTAAGTGGTGGCATTGGTGGTCAAAAGATAATAAGGATGGTCGGATCATCCTTATCAAATTGAAATGGTGATTCTTGACCGACTATGAATAGTTTACCCAAAAATTGATGGGGACATTTACATACCTCTTCTTACAAAGATCCAGTGAGATCTAATTCCACTGGCACTAATTTGATATTTTTCTTGTTGAGTAATGACACGAGATTCATGTCATATTTTCATTCAACACTATTGAGTAAGAGTGTCGAGTGACAATCAAACGCTTCAAGCACGATTGTGTCCATTCAATGACGGCTCGATATAATGTTGTTGAATAGTGACATGAGATTGAGTACGTGTTGATCTAACTGCCAATCACTCGAAGCCTGGTCAAGGGTTTCACTCTATGGCTCCTCGAATTATGTCCGTCTAAGCCTAATCCATGAAATCTTTAATAATTGAGAATGTGATATTAAAAGTATTCATGATTCAAATAGTGGAAATAAAAAAAAGAAATCAGTGTTCTCAAGACTAAAGAGTCGTGCAAAAAGGGTGGGAACTTTCCACATGCCTGATTGTACTATAGTCAGATGGACCGACTTTATTAAATAAGTTGATTGTTAATTTATATTTTCAATTGTTAGATAAGCATATCAACATCATCACAACAATGTCTAACCATTGATGATTGCATGTGATATTGACCTTGGTAATCAATGATGAAGTGCGTTTGTGTTAATCCTTGATATCATTGTGGGTAATTTCTATCGAAATAATGGAAAATATTAATTTTCATCTTGATCACTTAAAATAAAGTGTCGGTCTGCCTATGACGTGTGAATTGCTCGAGCCACTTCTGAATTGGAATAGTTTGATACGAATATCGAAGTATCTTTTTATTTATTGTTTTGTTATATTAGACTCGGCTCTTATACGTGAACTTAGAAATTTATCTCATCGATGACTACGACGGGAAATCGGGTTTTTCTGAATATCTCTCTTCCGGCCTATGTTGTAAGTTAGTTCGAGATCGAAACTGGACCTGATAGAGACTAGACTACTAGTAACAGTAAGAGCGCCTTCAGTTGAGGAGAGCTGTTCACAAGNAAAGTTACAATCCCCACCACGGAATAAGCACTATTTTTCAAGAGTAGATCTTGTAAAAAATTAATTCGTTTAGAAGAATGTGTGGTTACCATGTACATTTTTTTTTTTTGAATTAGCGAACAAAATTATTTTATTGAGAGTATGTATAATTATTTTAATAATTTATGTTAAGGTTAGTTGCATTCTAACTTACATGGTAGCCGTGTGGCTATAAAGATTAAGAAACAAACACAACAATCCTAGATAAATAATCAAGAAGGCTTGGTAGAAGATATACGATCATGCTTTCCGAGGACATATCGAGCAATCAAACTAATCCCTTCTGAAGCCGAAAACTTCCCAATCATGATAAAGTCATTGTTGGGGGCGAAATCCTCAGCATCACATTGTCTCGACCGGCAATGTACCATCGCGAAGGAGTCTAATGAACGATAATAAAACTATACCTCTTTTCAAATATCAAAGCAAGTCGACAATATTTTACATTTATAATCACATTTCTGTTTATAAATGAAAATAATAAACATCCATTTTTATAATTTTGAATATTACAATTTAATAGTCACAAAAAAAATAGAAAATGTTTAAGAATATTTTTGGTTATGTAATCTCCTAGAGTGGAAACTACGTAAAACCAAGCGTTAAGTTTGAAGTTTTTAAAAATCAGGTTTTAACTTTATTTAATCAAAAATCAAATTTTAATTTCACAATCAATTTTAATAATGATATTATAAATTAAATTAATTTATATACCCACCATACCACCTACCCTCACCAGATTTCAACCCTAAACCCAAACCCTCATCCCTCTTCCGTCTATTCTCTCTCTTACATCTCTCTCTTCCGCTCTTCTCTTTCATCCCTTCTCTCTTTGCCACACACTTCACCGGAGGCAACATCTCCCGACACTCATGTTGCGAAGAGAAACGGCAGGGAATGAACAACAGAGAAGCGGCACTTGCGTCCGATGCTTGGCTATGGCAGTCCGTGGGTGTGGATCTACGATGGTCCATGTGATGGAGAGGCGACGAGCCTTACTGGTGATGGCGGTCCGGCCCGCCAGAGCCCACACACTAGTGGATTTGGTGGATAGTGGATTTCATCTTATTGGCCTCCCAACAGCCGCAATAAATGGCATGATAGGAAATTTCTGATTTATTTCACTGAATATGAATCGCGAGGGCCTTNTTTTTTTTTTTTTTTTTTTTTGTGCGCGTGGCGGTAGTCGTGGTTGGATGAGATGAGATTGGGGTGTGTCTGTGACCACTGATTTAGTTGGCTGTGACCAATAATTGGTTAACTTTTGACAAATATATAATATGTGACCTACAAATTATGACCTTGACCCAAAACTTTTGAAGTTGTAATCGAGTTGTAACCAATAAAAATTTTGATTTTTTCAACATATGACCTGTAAAATTTTTTAATTTGTAGCGCTGGTCGTAGGTGGGATGAGATGGGGCGTGTGTCTGTGACCAATGATTTAGTTGATTGTAACCAATAATTAGTTAATTTTTTACAAATAAATAATATGTGACCTAGAAAATGTGAACGTGACTCACAAATTTATTAAGTTGTAATCTGAGTTGTGACCAATAAAAGTTTAAATGAGCCGTGACCAATAAAATTTTTTATTCGTCACCGATGAATAATGTGACCTATAAAAATTTGACTCGTGATCGAAAAATAGTATGTTTGTGACCAATAATTTGATAAGCTGTGATCGAAAATTAATTTTTCACTAATTAATAAGATATTCGTCACCAAATTGCATATAACTGTGACCTTAACAACGGTCGGAATCGGAGCAGTCGCCGAAATTAAACGGTGGCGAAATAGTAGTAGAAATTAAGCGCGGCCGGGGAATAATCGCCAGAGTAGTCGCCGGTTGCCGGAGTAGAGTGGCCACCAGAACAGTCGTTGGAGCAGTAGGGTGCTGGAGTTGGGATAGGGTGGGTTAATTATATTATATTATAATTAAATATTTAATTTAACAAAATTGTGAAATATAATTAATTAATTAATGAAAAATCTGATTTTTGCAATTTTCAAACTTGAGGCCTGATTTTTTATTTTGGGATAGATAATGCCTGATTTATGCATTTTTCCCTCTCCTAGATGTTTTGATATCCCAAATTGCCCTTTTAATTCTCGACTTGGCCTTGGGATTAGGCTGGGCCCCAGTGATGGATCGTATCTAATCCATTATATTTGGGCTTTATTGCATGTGCATTGTACAAAGTAGAAATTACGCGGAATCAAATTTTTTAAGTTATCATTTCAAAAATCAAATTTAAAGTTTGTTTATACAAAAATCAGATGATAACTCAATATTAATAATAATATTATTATAAAATTAAATTAATTAACAGACCAACCCTACTTCTATCTATCCATCCATCACATCCCACCTCACTTCCCCAAACCTTAATTTTTTTCTCATTCTTCTTTCTTACTCCCTTCTCTCTCTAATAGCGCTTGCAGCCGCTGTACGTGGTACAACGAAAGAGAGTGCCACTGCGTGCACTATTGTCAATGCGGCTATGGGATAATGTTTCTTATTGTGTTGAACGATTCACGCATATATTAAGTTATGAGAATAGATAACGGAGCGTTAGTGTAGTGAAAACAGCTCTCACAACATCAAGCGACGTAGTAGGTGCTATGAAGAGTCAGTTTCTGGGGTTATAATTTGATTGTGATGAGTGGTAAGGGCTGGTTCAATTGGCCAATTGGGATGTTGTAGACTCATGATGAATATAGTGTTTTTGTGGTGGGAAATGAGTGTTGTTGGCGGTGGTGATTGTTGATTGGGGCAGTCGGTGATGCGACAAATGGGAATGAAGAGCACATGTTTTGTTTTTACTGGTTAAGGGTGAGACCGAAAAAGCTAGTGTGGTTGATTTTGTCAGTGCAAGAATGTGATCGAACCAGTGAAGAATGGGTATGGAGGTGCTTATGGGAGCAGTGGTGGCGTGGTTTAGGGTTTGAAGAGGTGAGTCATGTTGATGGGCTGGATTGTTGAGGTTTGGGCCATTCGGAGGATATAGTGGTGGATCTGGTGATGACCGTGTAGATTTTGTAGTTGAAAATGATGGTTTGTTGGTGGTGGTGGTTCTGAAGTTGAAAATGGTAGTTTGTTGGTGGCGGCGGGAACATTGATGGCGCTATTTGTGGTGGTAAGATGGCGCTGCTTTCAGTTGGTGCCATGGTGAATTGGGGTTGGGTAGCGTAAGTGGTGGAATTAAGAGTGTTTGTTAATAATTATTTGAGATTATGACCAATAGATTAAATATTTTGTGATCAATAAATAATATGTGACCTAAAAATTTGAGTCGTGACCC